TAGATTCAACTTTCCTCATAGACTAAGCAGACTGAGCCCAATAGTTCTTACTGGATTGAGTGTAAACCTGAAGACATAAATGGATTCTATGGCTAACACATGGCTCAGCACTTTGTAATGAATAAGAGAAAGACTTGTCATTCGATGCGGCAAATATAATTATCTCATTTAATAAAATGAAAAATCAGAAACAAAAAAATGCAGTCCAAGTTTTAAAAAATTTCAAAAAAAATTTTTTTCATGGAAAACAAATGACTAGGGTTTAAAATTTAGGTAAAGCTTTTAAGGCTCTTTTGTGTATTCTTCCAAGTCCTGCTTTTAACTTTTGTCCCATTGATCAAGAGAAAGATGACTCCATTTATTAAAGTTGCAAGTAGAAACCAGAGTGGCAGACAGAGAGGGTCAAAGAGAAGTACAAATCCATGTGAGTTCAGAGAGAACGGAAGGGTTATTTCTCAATCTGTTAAGTCCTTGTTACTGAGAAATAAAAGGGAGGGAGAGAAAGAGCGAGTGGGGAGGAAGAGGGAGAAAGGAGAAAGGGAGGGTAAAATTTCACCTTGCAGTCTACCTGTTAACACCTCATCGATACATCATTAAGATGAGTCAGTGGAGGGTTGGAATTCCAAGTTTTATTTATTTCTCCTTGAATTCAAATACTTTTCCAAAAGCTCCTGGACTTCGTATTATAATCTCCACATAACTGGCAATAAATTCCAGCTACCATAACTTGTTTCACAATTTTCTTTTCCTTGGCAGTGAGTTATGGGGAAAATGTTAGGAAAAGAGGGAAAGTTACTATGGAAGTGAGCTTGGATATGTCAAGACATGAAATAGAAGTTCAGCAACATAGTGAATAAAATTACCATTCAGAAAGAATGCATTTTAATGAGGCAGATCCTATACTGTTTGTTTTCATATTATTAATAATTACGTTTATTTTATGCAGCAGTGAAATTCTATCCTAAAACAGGTAGAATCATTCCTGTTAGGGGATGGCCACTCATAACTCCTCGGTAAAGAACCTCAATTGTGAAGAGGTTCACACACCTTTGTAAGCTGAGTGTTATTCTCCCTCCTTGCTTGTCTACTTTGTTCTCTGCCTGCCTTCATGTCTTCCTTCTAATTTCATTAAAAATATTTATTCCCGTTGCATTTGTCCATAATGGAAAAAAGAAGGCTCTGTGCAAAATGTTGTGCAGAAATATAAAACTGAGTAAAATGAGTGCCTGCATTGTAGGTACTTGAAGTGGGAAGCTAAGACATACAAAGTAAAAGTGGAATATTAAATAAGTAAAGCTGCAAAACTTGAGTGCAAGTGGATCCACCAATTGATTCATCAAGGAAGGCTGTGTAATGGAAGTATCTGACCTGATTCTTTTTTTTTGAAAAAAGATTTATTTATTTATTTGAAATTCAGAGTTACAAAGAGGCAGAGGCAGAGAGAGAGAGAGAGAGAGAGAGAGAGAGCGCGCGCGAGAGAGATCTACCATCTGCTGGTTCACTCCCCAGATGACCACAACGGCTGGAGCTGCGCTGATCCAAAGCCAGGAGCCAGGAGCTTCTTCTGGGTCTCCCACATGGGTACAGGGGCCCAAGGACTTGGGCCATCTTCTACTGCTTTCCCAGGCCATAGCAGAGAGCTGGATTGGAAGTGGAGCAGTCGGGACTCGAACCAGTGCCCATATGGGATGCCAGCACTACAGGCTGTGGCTTTACTCGCTACGCCACAGCGCCAGCCTCAGACCTGATTCTTAGATATATTCATTTATTTATTTTGTCCATTAATTCATCAAAACACAGTTTTAAGGACCTACTTTATCCAAGCATATTTATTGACAGATTGACAGTGAAAGTTCAAAAGTAAACAATGCAACTATAATCTGTACTTTTGTTAGTACCATGCAGTGAAGAAAATGCACAATTGAAAAATCATCTGGTCAGTGCCACGGCTCACTAGGCTAATCCTCCGCCTTGCGGCGCAGGCACACCGAGTTCTAGTCTCGGTCGGGGCACCGGATTCTGTCCCAGTTGCCCCTCTTCCAGGCCAGCTCTCTGCTGTGGCCAGGGAGTGCAGTGGAGGATGGCCCAAGTGCTTGGGCCCTGCACCCCATGGGAGACCAGGAGGAAGCACCTGGCTCCTGCCATCGGATCAGCGCGGTGCGCCGGCTGCAGCGGGCCGTCCGCGGCGGCCATTGGAGGGTGAACCAACGGCAAAAGGAAGACCTTTCTCTCTGCTCTCTGTCTCTCTCACTGTCCACTCTGCCTGTCCAAAAAAAAAAAATCATCCAGCAGCAGCTCCATAACGGTGATAAACACTCCAAAGGAGGCTTACAGGATGCCATGAGGGCATGGGAGGAAATGACACTAAAATTGAACCTTAAAGAATTAGAAATTGACTGGTGAGGACTGGAGTGTGGCACAGGTGGAACAAGTATACACACATAAACATTCATTGAAAGGCCACCACAGGGGCCTGCGCTGTGGCATAGCAGGTAAAGCCACCACCTGCAGTGCCAGCATCCCATATGGGCACCAGTTCTAGCCCCGGCTGCTCCTTTTCCTATCCAGCTCTTTGCTATGGCCTGGGAAAGCAGTAGAAGATGGCCCAAGTCCTTGGGCCCCTGCACCCGCGTGGGAAACCCGGAAGAAGCTCCTGGTTTTGGATCACCGCAGCTCTGGCCAGTTGCAGCCATCTGGGGAGTGAACCAGCAGATGGAAGACAGCTCTCTCTGCCTCTCCTTCTCTCTCTGTGTAACTCTGACTTTCAAGTAAATAAATAAATCTTTTTTTTTTAAAAAAAAAAGGCCACCACAAAACACACCAAAGACCAGAATTAAAGGAAAGGTTTATTGTGGGTGGAGGGAATCTCAACAGGCTGGAGAGAGAGGGCGGAAGAAGGTCTTGTTGTAGTCTTGGGGGGCGGGGGCGGGAAGGGGCAGGAAGGGGTGGGGATAGGGAAGTGGAGACAGCAAATCCTGTTAGGGTAGAGGTGGAGCTGACACTTGTGATTGGGCCGTTTGCTCACCTGACTCCTAGTCTGCCAGGCTGGGTCCTGGAGAGGCGGAACTTAGTGTACAGGGTGGTGGCTGGGCCCGAGCCTAAGATGGCGTTGGGGGCAAGAGGTGGCGCTTTTAAATAAGACAGTAGCCTTTCACTAACACGCGTGCAAATCCAAAGGTTGAAGGAGAGTTCAGCAGTGCAGCTGGAACAGTGGGAAAGCGGAGGGCCTGCCATTCAGCTTCTCAGTGAGATCACCTAAGGGTTTAAGCAAAGTGACTTCTGTTGTGTGGCCAATGGAAAACAGCAAAAGTCAGGTTGCCAGGTAGGAGGCTCCCTCCGGAGCCCAAATTCTAGATAACAGGACCTTGGCTTGTGTATCGTTTTGGGAGTGGAGAAAAAAGCAGACAGGAGTGATTCAAGATCTGTTTTGGAGGCAAAGCAGACGCCCCTGGGGTTCAAAGGGAGGGGTTGTCCAGCAGGCACTCGCTTTTCTCATAGAAGCAAAGGCAGATCTTAGCGTCCTTGGGAAAAAGGAGCAGGGCTGTGTTCGATGGAAGACTGGGAATTCAAACTCACGTGAGCAAAACCGGGAGATGTCCAAAGGCCTGATTTGGGGTGGGCAGTGGAGTAGGCGGGTGTCTACGTGTGTGCTGAGGGCAGAGGTCAGAGCTGGGGATGAAGGCGCAGGAGTCCAGGACATGGGGGTGCGTTTTGAAGCCATTTGAGTCTTAACGAATGGATATTATTTGGCCCAGTAAATGGTATTTTTTCTTAGAGATAATTTTTACCACATGGTTTCAAATACATATGTCATTCTTCTGCATGATTTTAGTACACTCAAGGGAAAATATTTTCCCCTCTTGGGTAACATTCCTCTAACACAATAATGTAAGTCAAAGGGAGAATGAAATGTATTTAATTAAATATTCTTTACAACATAAAATACTGGTACTTATCTGTTCTTGAAAAGATTTTAGGAGTTCTTTCATTTCTTATCATGGATACTCTCCCCCACCCCTACTGAAAATGCACATTGATGCTCATTTATTGGCAGAGATTTGATTGGCTAAATAATTTCTTATGTCAGGCAATTTTGTAAGTAACATGTTTTCCCTCGAGGAACTAGGGTAAAGGGTGGAAATCTTTTTTAAAGGAGCCAGAGTTATAATTACCATCTAATTTGCTTCTTTAAAAAGTCCTATTTTATGTTCCCCTAATAATTCATTTCATCAAATTTTTATAAAATCTTTCCCATCATAGAGTTTTACTGAAACATGCAATATCCTAACTCCCAATACTTTAAGAGCAGATTTTATTCATTAAGTATCCACATAGACCCTACTAAAGGTATTATAACTGACATTCATTTTTATAAACAAAGACTTCAAATGTTCCCCAATACTGTAAGATTTGCAATATCCAAACTGTTTATATAATGGCATGACTTATGAGAAAAACACAAATAAACAAAGAAGAAACATTTTCTGCACAACATTGAAGGAAGCGTTCAACAGAATAGGCAAGGAGTTGGAAAATCCTCCAATTCATTACAAAGATGGAGTCCTACTCTAAAGTAAGGTTGAAAATTACTCATGAAATAAATTCAGGATTCCATGATAAAATTAAAACCTTAACTGAATGATCTAACAACACGTCCTAATGACTGGTGAGATTTAAATATATATATATATATATATATATATATATATATTTTAATCTGAGGTTGTTTGAAATCTTACCATCTTCATCACTTCACAGGTTTATGAAGCCAAGGTATGAATACTGGCCCATTCGTGGGCTCATGTTACGCATCTGCAGATAGGCAGAACTGTAAGAGTCTTAAAGCACTTTGGAGAATCTGCTGATGTGTGTGCATTCTTTCTTTGTAAAAGTCTTTTCTGTAGATGAATAGCTTTTTGAAGTAGCCATGCTATCTTCTAATGTGCGTCATTTCCTTGTGTCATTCCTTACCCCTGTGCTATGTTTTCTTTGTCCTGAAGGAATTGCCTATGACCCCCTGATGCTGAAACACCAGTGCATTTGTGGCAATGCCACCACCCACCCTGAGCACGCTGGGCGAATCCAGAGCATCTGGTCACGGCTGCAAGAAACTGGGCTGCTAAATAAATGTGAGGTAATCCTGAATTGGCTACACTCTTTTACTTACTTAAATAAATCATATAAAGAGGCCCGTACTCATTTTGGATAATAGTAGAAAAATGTTAGCCATGTAGCACAAACACCGTGATTGATGAGCCATTGTAGACACAAGTAGCATAGAACTTGCCACCTGACTCTGGGCTGGACACACAGTAGGTACTCAATCAATGTTGATGGACAGAGCAGCTGCCTGATGTGTGTGTTCTATTATTGAGGTACTATTGTTTACACATGACAGCAGGTCTGTTGTTAAATAGGCAACATTTATTGGGTTAATCTTCTGAGAAACCCTTTCCCAAATATTAGTGCTAAATAAGTGTTTTTTTTGTTTTGTTTTGTTGTTGTTGTTTTTTTTTTGTTATCAGCTACACTTTGAACTCAGATATATGCCACTTTTGCCTCATGGAAATAAACAGATTTTAAAGATCATCTGTCTTTTTACCAAGAAAAGCTACTTCATTTTCTTGAAGTGATTGCTATTCTGTAATTTTAGGTAGACACTTGAATATTTTCATTTTATCAGCATTTCTTTAGATTCTTTTCTACAGATTCCTGGTGAGCTCCACTTTCATTTAGAAAAATCTGTTTCTTTAGCTTTTCAAATGACAAAAACAAAAGTAGTATCAATTCAGAAAGCCTCATTTTCAAATTGGCAAAATGTATAACAACCAGCAACTGTTCGATTTGGTTGCTGTAAATTTCTATTGTTTTCGAAATTTCAGCAACAATGTGCATTTGAGTCTAAACCATTTTTCAAAGAAAAATATCTCTCCTGCATTGTCTCATATTATTTTAAATATATTGGTTAAACATATGTCTGAATGAGTCAATCTTATATTCTAGATATGGTCCAGACACTGGAATTTCTTTTCTTTTCTTTTTTTTTTTTTTTAATTTTTGACAGGCAGAGTGGACAGTGAGAGAGAGACAGAGAGAAAGGTCTTCCTTTTCCGTTGGTTCACCCCCCAATGGCTGCTGAGGCCGATGCACTGCAGCTGGCGCACCGCGCTGATCCGAAGGCAGGAGCCAGGTGCTTCTCCTGGTCTCCCATGGGGTGCAGGGCCCAAGTACTTGGGCCATCCTCCACTGCACTCCCGGGCCATAGCAGAGAGCTGGCCTGGAAGAGGGGCAACCAGGACAGAATCCGGCGCCCCGACTGGGACTAGAACCCGGTGTGCCGGCGCCGCAGGTGGAGGATTAGTCTATTGAGCTGTGGCACCAGCCTTGGAATTTCCAAATGTCATGTGACAGGTAGGGTCTCTGTTCTCATGGAGAGACATTTCAACATGTTGCTGTTGGTTTGCTTTATTGTCCTTTACAGATCAATGAAGAAAAACCAACAAAGTTCTTAAATGCCCTAAAAAAATTAAATGGGTGATCTTTTGACTACAGTTAGTCCATGAGAAATCCAATACATCGAGGCCACATTGAATTCACTATCCTTCAATAAAACTAAAAGCAATCATTTGTGAGTACCTTTCAGGGTCATATGCAAATTACCTGTGACTATTTGCATATATATATGATGCTATAACTGTTTATGTAGTGGGTATGGATTGACAACATGTCTTTGGAAACTTAACTACAGTACATTATTTTTAACAACCCCAAGTGTTGTCAATAAAACTCTTATTCCAATTCAATTCAGTGTAAGATGAACTTAAAATATTTTGGCTGAAATAAAAATGCTGCAGCAGACAGAATGCTCCTAAAGTTTGAATGCACTGCCCGTATTAGGTGATGTGAGTGACAGCAAGCTGGTCTTTTATCCCTGCAAGCTGGTAAAAATAATTGACCTTGGAAGATGCAAATTTCGAAGGATAATTTTCCCTATAGGTTTTCTCTTTCAAAGGTGAATAGTGCATTCCATTGTACAACAGAACTAAATTGGCTCTTTATTTTTACATGAAATTGTTGATAATGGCTGATGGATCTTTCAACAATTGAGCTTGAGAATGAATGCGCCAGAGCACTGTGTGTGGATTGGGACTCTGAAGTTTTATTATAGGTTTATGACGGAATTATCAAACGTGTTTTATACTTAAAGCTCTGCTTTTCATTAAATATATCCTTTACCTAGAATCCCTGAAAGTGAAGGAAAATGAGCTAGATTTATTTCTCTGATGTTTTCCTGAGAGAAAGTCTATTATTCATCTTTTTGCCAATGGCATCCATATTTTATGGCAGAAGGTTTTCATAGTCTTTGGTTAATTTTAGAGTTATCTTTCAGGCTTTCATGTTTTTGATAATGCAATTTGGAGGCCAAATCATTCTCTTTTATACACAGTCCCATATGGAGCACATAAAGTAGACAAGCAAGGAGAATTATTTGTGATAGACTGGTCTTAATGGACAAAATGCATTTATTCACGTGAGCATTCCTGTCTCACCTTTGCACCTGCTCTGGATGCTTTCCTGGTTGGTGGGTCTTCTGTCCTCTGCTTTCATTTTCTCACATGCAGTTCTTTGTCATAGCCCGCAGCAACTGGCCTAGTCCCAGCCACTCCAATTGGCAATGGCTTATCACAGCGTGTAAAGCCAGCGTTAGGCAGTGCTATTCCTAAAAGCCATCCTGCGAAGAACTCATTATGAAAGGAACAGAGTGCAGAGATAAGTGGAATGTGGTACGATTCATGCTGTTCTTAAAGGTTTAAGGTCTATCATCATCCCTTTCTGGTCAGTCTTCTTTTTCTCAATTTCTCATCCATGAATTCATTTGATTCCTGTATTATCTGAAGCAATACAATTCAATTTAAATAGCACATCTCATGCGTAGCAAACCCAGGGTGCAATGTCAGAAACACTGCAGAGTTGAGGCAAGAGAGAGGATAGCCCCAACCCAATAGAGTTAAACAGAGTCTCCCTGGTAACAGTTCCTCACAAAATTAACAAATAATACACTTGAGAGTTCAGCCTAGCAGATTTGCACAAATGTCTAATTCAAAACTTCACAATAGCACAAGAGAACCCATTTTTCTAATATAGTTAGATGCTTGCTTAGGTGAAGAAATTGTTACCGTAATGCATTTATTTGCTTCCACAATATCAAATCTTCTGCATCATCAAAGAAATTGCTGCTCCTCTGACTTCCTCTATTATTTTTTAAGATGCTAACTAAACCCCAAACATGAAATGGAATTTCTAAAACACTAAAAATCTACTTACTACAAAACATCTAGGAACTGAATGTCCCTCTGCCTGTGTGTGAATGACCTTGGGACTATTCAAAATTGAATTTTAGAAATCAGTAACTTAACAAATGTTATTCTTTTTTCTAGAGATTTTTAGTTGTAGATAAGATAAAACATATTCCAAAGTGAAAGGATGTTTTCATGACTTCTTGTTTATTTTTGCCAGAAGAGAAGGGGAGGAAATAAAAAGGGAACATAGTGAGATCATTTCAAGTCAGTGTAACCCACTCAAAAAGAGTAGAATGTACACTGTAGCATTGTCCCCAGCCAATTCCTTTACTGAACACAATAGAAACAATTGATAGTGTGTTCTTTGTGGGTTTCCTTTGAAAGTTTTGATTTGAGAAGGTCATTCTATATACGAAGTTTTTAATATACCATCAAACCCTCTTGCAAGGATGCTGAACCTTCTAGCTCATGCCAAATTATTTGGGAAATTTATATATCATACCAAATTATTTTGAAAATGTCAATGCTGTAAAAAAAATCTTCTAGGTATCAGAGTTGTTGAAGAAGCATGAAAGAGTCACATCTTAAGAGGCATGATCTTGTGGAGCTCCTGCACTGTGTGGGTGGTGGGCGCTTAGGTGAGCTGAAAGGGCAAGAAACTTCTATCCTCCAAGGCTTTCTGGTGAGTGTTTCTTAGACTTCTCAAGGAATCAAGGGCAATGACAGTGTGTGTCAGCTGGAGTTCACTGATTGACTCCAAGAGGGGAAGTTGGATCCTGGCTTGAGTGTGAATGCCTTACTTACTAAGACTCCCCAAAGACTTAAATCTCCAAGGTTGCTCCTTCTAAATTGACAAGGAGCGGTATCAGACGTTGGGCTCAAACACCCTTGCCTGCTGATGACTAATGTAGGTTCCACTTGCTGGGGTCTCAGGGATTTGAGTAGCAGGCCTGGTGTCTAGGCTGTCATTGTGTCCTAAGCAGGAAGGACAATTTTCTGTTCTGGTGGTGGTTAATAAGGACCCAATTCAGTTGTTTCCAAAGCATGAAATGTGTTCAGTTTCGCAGAACAGGGTGTAATGGAATAGGAGTGGATGCATACAAGCTGGGTCAGTGCATCATTTCTCATACCCAGAGAGTAATCCACTATCTTTGGATGCCATTTGCTCACCTGGTTAGAAGTCTACCTGTGCTTCTAGAGATGAAAATTTCCATTGTTAGCATATTACAGAATCACCTGGGTGGATGCTAAACCACAGCTTTTCTGAGATTCAACCCTAGAGTTTCTAATTCAGGAAATCTGGACTGAGGTCCACGAATTTGTGTTGCTAGCAGGTATACAGGTGATCCTGATAGTGCTGGTCTGGGCAGGAACACCTTGAGAGCAGTGATCTATCTGTTCAACAGTATTTATCAATCCTTTCCCAGACACCTCTGTTAGGAGACAGAATGCTGAGTAGAAAAGATACATCCTGTGTCCTCAGAGAGATTAATATCTGGTGGCATCAGCAGATGTTAATCGAATAATCATTTTTTTAATTTTTTAATTTTTTAATTTTTTTTATTTTTTGACAGAGTGGACAGTGAGAGAGAGAGAGACAGAGAGAAAGGTCTTCCTTTTGCTGCTGGTTCACCCTCCAATGGCCGCCACGGCTGGCGCGCTGCGGCCGGTGTACCACGCTGATCCGAAGGCAGGAGCCAGGTGCTTCTCCTGGTCTCCCATGGGGTGCAGGGCCCAAGCACTTGGGCCATCCTCCACTGCCTTCCCCGGGCCACAGCAGAGAGCTGGCCTGGAAGAGGGGCAACCGGGACAGAATCCGGTGCCCCAACCGGGA